AACACGATTCTGGGTTCATGCTCGTTGGTATCTGTTTGCAGTAAAGCGCAGCCAATTGCAAGGACAAAGCGTCACAGACGACATGGTATGACCACGGAGGATTTACTTACAGTTGGAGGCCTCCAATCTCACCGCATCACAACAATTTCTCACATTTTTCTAAAGAGATTGATAAGAGACCGCGTCGTGTTGGTACTGTTTGCACTGCACTTCGCGGGTAGTTGGCCAGCCAAGCCACTTCCTCAAGTTCTTTTGGAATAAATTCACCGATCAATCTACAATAACTTCTACCCCAGAAGATGTTTTCACATAACATGCTTTTGTTAAAGTAAATTTTTTTGTTTGTTCGGCGCCAAAAAACACACTTATCTATTTAAGCAATTGTATTTCTTAAGCGCATACACTCGTGCACAGATCGCAAGAGTTATCGTGGCACTCCTAATCCAACGACCCGTAATCTGCACGACTATGGACCAATACGTCGTTATAATAATTTTGGACATAGACTCGCTGTGGACGGAACCGCGATGTCACACGACGGTTCCGCGTCGCTGATGCGTAGACTTGTTCTTTCATACAACCAGCCACTCCCGAGTATTCACTTGAGCAAATCCTCGCAGTGAAAGTGATGCGCTTCTCTCAGCAGGTGTTGAAAACAAATATCAACTGATCTTAGAACTGCACAACTGCATCCAAACAAGCTGTTTTACAGTACATCGTTTCTTAAATCGACTTTGCGCTGGAAGCAGCTACATTATGCTTATCATAAGCACATACAATTAGCCGCTTGCCGACACCCCTTCTGATAAAGTAGATCGGCGCCGACTGCAAAAGCTTACCGTTTCCACCAATCCGCTTTATAATTCACACGTTCGAAGCGTAAGCAACGTCACACATTTTGTTTGGTAAGGGCCATTGTCATGTGACCCAAAATATGGGTCTTCGTCAATCTCATTACGCACTGGGGTATCTGCGTCGTGGGTCTCATGTCACCATGTTGTGTTAATCCTCAACATAAGATTTTAAATGTTCATGAATCGTTGATGATACCTGTCGGCTCCTCACACTTAGATTAATCATGAAGATGTAAGCTCGTCCTTCATGCGTTAGTAGTTGTCAAATCTCGGTAACCTGATCGTCTTGCAATTTCTGGCACATACTCCCGATTGACGATCCTTCCAGCTC